ACTACTGAATTGTTTGCGGTTTTTGCGTTAAATCAATTAAATGGTTATAATTAATGGTTTAAACATGAATTATATATACATATATACACTTCTTTCATGTCCCTACTAATATTATACTAAGTGCGAAAGTAACTCTGTCTGTCTGTCTGTTACGCTTTCACACCTAAACCACTGAACTGATTTTAATGCAATTTGGTACAGACATAGAGTTGACTTTGAGAAAGAACATAGGATAGTTTTTATCCCAGACTTTTGAAAGGTTCTCTTGGAAAAGCGATATAACCGAACTCCACGCGAGCGAAGCTGCGGGCGGAAGGCTAGTATACTATATATACACTTATTTAATAGTCATTATTCATATGTTACAATACAAATACATATTTAATACGAATAAGAGCGACTTGAAATTGATTAATACATTATGTAGAGCAGTATATATTGTTATATCAAGAAATACTGTTTGTTATAAATGTCTTCGCTGTTGAATAAATTATTGTGTACAGTAAATATTGATAATCAATACCAATTGGACGATTGTCAAATATATTTGGGGGTTATTTGTGTTAAAATAGCTTAAAATATATTCATAATCTTATAGTTTATTATTTTATATATGCTATACAATTTTTGTCCGCGACTTCATTTGAAAGGAATGTATAAAGGGCTATAAATATTATATTACATATTAATTCTTAGTTCTGTTACTTACTTACTTACTTACTAAATATTTAATTTGTTTCAAAAAGAGTATAGAGAAAGTTGCGAGGCGATGTTGAAATATTTTGTAATATATGATTATTATTTATTGTTATTGAAATTTGGTTTTGCTTCAGTAATACGACGAACCTTCTCATCATTCCATTGCTTATCGTGCGGGTACCGCTTCTATGTCGTTAAGTAATTCGTAATATGAGACAAAGTCATTATTCATTGAGATCATTGCTTAAATGTCTATAAATCAAAAATTCTCGATCGTAGAAATTGATCTATTTTGAGAGATATTTCCAAAAAATACGAGTAAGTAACGCTATAGGACCAATTAATCATATGAAAATGAATGAAAATCTAATTTAAGTACTTACTCAGTGAAATTTCAAGGAATTTGAAAAGAAATAAATTTAAGTATTACAACAACTTATTTTTGAAAATAAAACGATTTCGTTGAGACCTTCAAGGCTTCAAGTTAATTAACATAAATGTTTAAATCACACGCTTGATTGAATCATGCATACATTAAATATTGATAGGCGACTACAAAAATAGTTTCCTTATTCGATTCGATTAGTTATCAAGGGTTTTCTTCTTCTTCTACCTGGCAATTTCCCAGCTTTAGCCAGGGTCCGCCTTACATGTTGTGAATGGTTTTGGCTAATTGTTTTTACGACCGGCCGCCTGCCTGACATCAACCCTCTTTGGAAAAAAATACATTGGATTTCGCTTTAATAATAAATTTTAATTAATTAGTAAGAAAACTCTCAAATAACCGTAGTTCAACCAATATAGGTATAAAGTTAAAACTAAGTTAAAACTACGTAGTTCATTGAGTATCTTGTAGTTAAAATGCAAATATAACCATATTTGCAAACCGAAGGACTAATTGTAGATTAGATATGACTTCACCTGACTCCGACATATATTTAATGCGGACTAATATTTGCATTTAATGGGAACTGCGTCTCAATTTTGTCGATAATAGTTTCGATGTCCTGATAAGAGATGGCGCTATCATCGAAAATGACCCAAATATACGTGATACCCTATTAATTAACTTTATAATACAATTGTTTGTGACTTTTGTTCGCATTTTATGTTACTGAAATTTTTTTGTCACACTTATACAGGGTGACTGGTGAATATCTATCAATATTTGAGGAGAGTACTCGGTACATGATTCTCATTCGAATTATGTAAAAAAAATAGGTACTTAATTTTTGACCAAATTTCCATATAAATAAATAAAGTGTGGACACGTTCCAAGTGTGGACGCGTGCGGCGGCGTGCTGATACAACACCACGCCGCCGCACGCGTGTGTGTGTGTGTGTGTGTGTGTGTATACCTAATCTGTAGGGTGTTCACACGATGCGTAATTAATTACATAACTTTTGGTTAACTTTACTTAGAAGTTTATTAATATTTATGTTATATTAATTTTTATTTTGTCATATATGACCGTCAAATATCACGTCCTTAAGTATCGATAGTAATTCACCAGCCACCCTGTATATAAGACAATTTTAACTATTAAGGTTTTTTTAGGAACTAAATGAAATTAAACTCGCTTTGCTCTGTAACCAAAGTAACTACTTTTAAAGTTTATTCCTTTTCCATTTCTCCTTAATTCCTTCTTCTATTGCTTTTTCTACGATTTCACCATTCTTTTTTCTACAAACAATTACACTTCAAAAATATTTCTTTCCTTTAATCAGCTGAGCCCATTGACCATAGAGTTTACAGAAAAAAGTATGACATGACGAGACATTTAACTTTTAATAAAACTTACCTAAACAAAAACAATATGTTTTTCTTTACATATATATTTTATATTTTTTATTAATATACAAAATACTTGATTATTATTAAACACATCGCGATGTCATATAACGGTATACAAAGAAAGTTATACAATAACAGCTGTGGTTTGTAATGAGTCAAGAAATGGCCTTTCGCCGAAAATGATTCAAGATTTCAATCTATTTATATGTACATCAAACGCATCTCCGTATAATCTTTTGATCTTGTTTTATTTGACACGTTCGTGTTACTTACTACCAGTCTGCACAAACTACAAACTGACAGTCTGTAAGTATTCGTATTGAATGAGAAACGGTAAACGTGTAGTATGTGTGATTAGCAAACTCGTAGTAGGCGTGTTGTGCGCATTACGTAGAAATTACTGTATATATTACAGTTACATATGTGATATTCCTTGGTTATACATATATATATATATATATATATATATATATATATATATATATATATATATATATATATATATATATATATGTTCAAGAAACTACTATTATACGAGATATATGTTGAATGATATCATACATACAATAATTTTATTCATATATTAGAACGGACGAAGTCGCGAGCATCACTTAGTATTGAATTTATAACTTGATTTTTCATACAACTAAAATTAATCCAATTTTTAATATCCTTACTATTAATTACGTTACAATTATGATGTATAATACTAGCTTTCCGCCCGCAGCTTCGCCCGCGTGGAGTTCAGTTATATCGCGTTTCCAAGAGAACCTTTCAAAAGTGTGGAATAAAAACTATCCTATGTTCTTTCTCAAGGTCAACTCCATCTCTATACCAAATTTGAATAAAATCAGTTCAGTGGTTTAGTCGTGAAAGCGTAACAAACAGACAGACAGAGTTACTTTCGCATTTATAATATTAGTAGGGATTGAACCTTTAACCTCCAATATTAGTCCACAATCCGATGAAGCATAGATTCGCTCCCCCATATATGTGTCATACAAGAATAGACCGGGGTCAACGAACCTTTAATTGTTACACATTAAACACGGTCCATGCTGATAGATTCCTGTTTACATCACTATATTTTAGTTTATTTATAGTGTATTAAATCTTCATTCATATAGATTTTATTTAAAAAACATTCAAATTTATAATATTTAGTTAAATTACGCTTAGTCGGACTAACAATACATGTAATAATAAAAATACTTAAACGAATTTTTGAGTATGTAGACAGCCTTATTTCAGATCAATAATCTCTTCTGTATACATCTATTAATCTAAATACTGAACCTTAATCGATAAAACTTTTATTAATTCATAATGTTAAATCATAAATATAGTAACAAAGTTTACTATTAATATATTTATATCTTGCAACACCAGCAATGGAAACATCAAAAGTTCCCGAGATAAGAACCAATAAACATACACATAAAAATTAAAACACACATTTCCGTGTAGTTCTGGGAAGAGCCAATAGTACGTGCTTATGTCCTTCAATAAAAACAGTACTTAAAACTAAAATGTAATTGAAAAAAGTAATATACATATATATCATTCGCTTTAGTTCTCAAAGTAAACACAAATAATTTTAAAACATTAATTAATTATAATTAATACGCATAGAACACAACTAAATGGTTTCTAACTAAGAAACAGCAATAGATATTAAATAAGTAACTGTATTTTACATAATCATACTAATTAAAATCTAACATATACTTAACAGAAAACTATATTAACGAAAATTAGTAATACTTCTTATATATTAATAAAAAAGCAAAATAACACCTTGATCGTATTTAGCTTACTCAAAGTTGAGGAAACACAATTAACGCGGGAAAATAAGTCAAAATTTCATCAATAGATGGCGCTTATAATGAATTTAAAAAATAAGTTGAAGAAAATTTAAAATATAAACTTTAGTTGTTGAAAAAAAGGAATTTTTATGAAAAATACTAGACAAATTATGTAGTTTAATAATACTGTAATTAAATAACTGATTTTATAATATTTTTCTTTTTCCAACCGTATATAAAGCACATTATCTTACTATCAAGAAAACGATAAATTTGAAAATGGAATTAATTCAACTTTTCTTAATTTAAATACAATGGAAAATGAAACCAGAAAATGTATTACATACACATAAAATTACTTTAAATAAACGCAGTCGGTAATTTCTCGGTCTGCCGGTCAACCGTGTATAGAAAAAATACACGAAAATATACCCTAATACAAAGAAATAAGGTTATGTTTAATAGATAAAGTCTAATCTTACTTGATTTTATACATAAAGACAACGAACCGTCTCATTTGAAAATGGAATTCGTTAGAGAATAATGAATGAATTCAGGTCTTGCGTAATAACTTTTCCGAATTCGGTCTTAAACAAAGACATTATAATGCTCGCCAAATATGGACTTAAAATGCATTAGCATAGGATACATTACCGTATAAGCTAGTTCAAAGTCGTTCCTATAATCAAGGTATTACTGACCTCAAAGCGCTTCCTTGCTCCCGTACATCGACTCCATTTATCGGGTCATCCGCCCTATTTGGCAGACCCGACATTTCGACCAACCGGCGCCCTCCGCCAATCAGGTGCGATCACACGTCATAGTGACAGCGGATTAGCCAATGGGATCATCGCCTGGAAGAACAGTTCGAAATTTGAATTCGGTACGCGAAACTGCGCGTAAGGAAACGGCGAGGAAGTGATTTATACATCCGTTACATAACTGTTAAAACAAATATAAATGAGGTTAAATATATTTAAATTTAAACTTGGACATAATATTGTTCACGTTATTCTACTAGAATAATATGCATTGATGTTATAAAAGAAATTCTCATATTAAGAAGCCGTGGAACAAGAAATGTGACATACTGAGGTTTTTGTATTGAACCATTTGACTTAGCGGTTATAAATTATAATTTAAACTTGCTCAAGGTCGATACTGGGAATATATTATTGTTCTTTTCGTCAAAAAGTTTGCTCACCTAGTAACAATTTAAACTCATATGAATTTTAATTTTATGCCTAATATAAAGTTTTAGATGAGGTCATTGACCTTTCAAAATGATTTTCGATTGTCATATTATGTTTTATCTAAACAATGAAATGTATTGAAACTATATAATTTATTTAGATAAAACTGATTTCTAATTAAAAAGGTTTTTACGACCGGCCGCCTGCCTGACATTAACCCTCTTTGGGAATGCATGTATATACAGCTGCGTGCAAAAGTATTAGGCACCCCTATTGTTAGTCACTATCTCATTAGATAGCGGTCAAGTGTGTGTTTTATGGTTTAGCTATTGTATTAGCGGCAATTTTTAACCAAATTAAGATAAAAGAAAATATTTATGACATCCAGGTGTGCTCCTAAGCGGTGTTTCTTCGAATTTGCTTTTTTTGCGTTTCGGGTTATAGTGTGTTATCAGTGCTTGCAGTGAACATACACGTCTTCTACGCAACTATACCTATCACAATTCTAAAGACTAACATTTAACGTGTTAATCATGCCGAAAAAATCTGAACTAAGTGCTGAACAGCGTCTAAGAATAAAGATTTTACATGAACAAGGCATGTCTCAGGTTAAAATAGCCCGAGAAGTGAAGTGCTCGCGATGTGCAGTTCAATATGCTATAAATCGGTTAAAAGAGACTGGCACCCATGAAAATAGACCAAGAACAGGCAGAAGAAAAGTTACTACTGAACGGGAAGATCGATTGTTGATTAGGCAGTCTCTACAAAACAGGAAAAAAACTGCTTTAGAGCTCGCTGCAGCATTATCTGAGGCAAAAGGCAGCTCAGTGAGTGTTTATACTGTGAGAAGAAGACTTCTTAAAGCTGGATTAAAAGGATGTACAGCAAGGAAGAAGCCGTGGGTGTCAGAACACAATAAGAAAAATCGGCTGGAGTGGGCACTCAAACATAGAGATTGGTCAGTGGAAGATTGGTCCAACATACTGCGGTCAGACGAATCTAACTTTGAGGTATTGTTATTTATTTTATGTACAATATTAAAACACATAAATGTTTTTAAAATAACGTACTGCAAGAAAAATAATAACTTTGAAAATAAATGGGTTTTTTTCGTTTGGAATAGGTGTTTGGAACACCCGATGTGACTTATGTTAGGCGAAGGGTTGGCGAAGAATACAACCCAGAATGTGTGGTTCTCACTGTTAAGCATGGTGGAGGCTCAATAATGATCTGGGGCTGCATGGCTGCCGACGGAGTGGGCGAAATGGTGTTGTGTGAGGGACGAATGAATAGTGTTAAATACACTGAAGTTCTGGAAACAGCACTAGCAACGTCGATAACGCAAATTTTCGGTGATACAAACACCGACGGCCTGAAATATCAGCAAGACAACGCCACTTGCCACAAGTCCGCGCATACCATGAAGTGGTTTGCTGAAAATCATATTGATCTTTTGGACTGGCCACCACAATCACCAGACCTCAACCCGATTGAGCATATTTGGTCCATTTTAAAGAAAAATATCCGCAGGCACTCGATTAGCAATAAACAAGCTCTATTGGCCGCGTTACAGCAGGAATGGAAAAATATATCAAGAGAAGAATGTTTCAGGCTGGTAGAGTCAATGCTAAAAAGAGTGGCTGCGGTTATTAAGTCAATAGGTGGACCTACAAAATATTAATTATTTTTTTAAAATAAACCATTGTAATCATAAATGCAGTTTTATTTACACTCGCTATGCTAAAACACCCTAAAACTTGTCTTACTGTAGGGTGCCTAATACTTTTGCCCGTGGCTGTACATATACACATAGTAATTTTGTACAAATATTTGAATTAATAATGAATTGTTATTGATAAATTGATAATTATAATACATATTTCTTTGTGTCCCGAGGTCCTGCGGTGTGGTCACGGACATGGCATTTTAAGGAAAATCAAGTGTCAAAACTAGTATTAAAGCCAGGCTTTTAAAGTAAAAAGCATCCCAATTTCAATATAAAAAATAATTATCATTTAGTATACTCTTGAAAATCTTAGATATAATTACGTCAATTATATTCATAAGCTTATTATACATTACAAAATCGACCTTATATGTATATAATAAGGTTGTGTTTATAATTACTGTAATCATTATAATTGTATGTCCGTCTGTAACGATATTATAATGGCCGTTATTACGGAACACGATAACTACACATTGTAGTAGAATTTAATTGTTATATACATATATATTTTAAATAATAAAATATATATAAAGATTTTATTTCATTGTATTAAGAAGATAAACAAATTTATGGAGAAATTGAATACATCTTTCATACACACATGCATGCATGCGCACACACACACACACACACAAACACATAGGTATATAAATACAGAAGAATTAACCCTTAAAATAATAGTAGTTTCTTAAACTTTTATGTATACTATGACTTCATTCGCACTGGAATCGTGGAATATTTTGATTTATTGGACGAATTATAATCTTGAGTACTGTGTGGAAACACGAAGGAGTTTGTCGAATGGAATAAAGACATTTTTTTTATTTATAAAATTTAATTATGACAGAGGCGAAACCTCTCATCATCTATACTAATATTATAAAGCTGAAGAGTTTGTTTGTTTGTTTGTTTGTTTGAAAGCGCTAATCTCCGAAACTACTGGTTCGAATTGAATAATTCTTTTTGTATTGGATAGTCCAGTTATCGAGGAAGGCTGTGGGCTATATAACATCACGCTACGACCAATAGGAGCAAAGATATAATGGTAAATGTGTAAAAAACGGGAGAAATTATTTCATCTTTGAAGCCTTCCGTTGCGTACGCCGTGAAAACGGTTCAAGATACACAAAAAATATGTATTAAAGAATAATAGCTCTTTTAATGATCTAAAAAACAGTCCCCGACAGTATATGTCTATCTTTTAAGATTAATTCACAAAAACCGTTTTTATGGTACCTAATTTGGTCGAAATAATTTTATAAAATCTTTATTCAAATAAACAAATAAATATGTTGTTGGTTAAGAGTACTTCATTGTGAATAAAAAAAACAGGTTTTATTATGAAAACTCTACGGGAACTCGACCATTCCGAAAACCCCGCTAGAACGGGAACTATGTGGGAAGAACCAAAAATCTGCCGGAAGTCACTATTCCACGCGGACGAAATCGCGGCAAAAGCTAGTATACGTATATTTTACTTCATCATCAGCCTATCAGAGCCCACTGCTGAAAGGCCTCTTCTCACATGGAGAAGGTTTGAGCATTAATCACCACGCTTGCTCAAGACGGGTTGATGATTTCATACTTATAATTTGAAAAGTCCAGGTTTCCTCACGATGTTTTCCTTCATCTGTAAGTGGTGTCTTAATACTCTTAGAAAGTACATATGACTTAGAAAAATCACATTGGTACTTGACAGGTTTCGAACCCGCGCCCTCGTGCATGAGAGGCGAGCCTTTAATCTTTCCACCACCACGGATTAAACTTATTAGTATTCAATTTCATTTACATATACCAATACTTCATTAAATACATTAAAAATTATATCATAATAAGTAATGTGAAATAAAAACTAAGTCTTTAAAATTAAATGTTTTTAATTTAAATCTTTTTAATTGTTATACATATAAAAACCTGAACTATTTTCTATAAAACATTATTTAATTACAGCTCATAGATAAAGAAAAAGATAACAAATTAATTTGATCATCAAACGAGCGAAGCCGTAGGAACAAGCTTGTTCAATGTTCACGTATGGTACATCAGAACTTTCATCTATTCTATAAAATATAAATTCTGTTAACATTTAATAATTTGCAATTTAAATACGCTCATTGTAATGTCTCATGTCTTGGTGCTCCGCTTGTCACTTAGAGTGTGGTCCAAGTTGTAAGCGACAACGATTTAATAAGAGTATGTTTGAATTCTCAATATCCTACTAATATTATAATTGCGAAAGTTTGTGAGTGTGTGTATGTTTGTTACTTCTTCACACTCAAACGGCTGAACCGATTTTGATAAAATTTTGTATACAGGAAGCTGAAGTCCAGGAATAACACATAGGCTACTTTACATCCCGGAAATCCGCGGGTAACACCGCGGGGCGCAGCTAGTATTAAATATATTAAAAAGCAAGCTGAATTCTATGTATCGTATTTGAAATGAATCTTTTTCAGATACTACGCGTATTTTATTATTTTAAACTACATACTACTAATTTCGGTTACTTTTCAGTAACCGTGATCATTAAGACGAGATGTGAATGTCTGTCAGTTGGTCTTGTTATATATCATCTACCGATAACGATTTCTGTTTTTAACATAAAAATACTTAACAATTTGACAAAAAAATGACAAAAAGTATATTTTTTGAGGATTAATTATGACACTGAAACTGTTATATTAATAATATTACAAAACATTTATAAACTAACACGAAACAAACAAATTTTACACGTACCTTATATTAAAATTTAAGAACAGTTTAGGTTTTAATAACAAATCAATTAAAACCATTACTTATATTTAAAGAATTAAATTAGATATCATTAGGTTATTTATTTGGTTTATAAAA